TACCTTGTCAGTGTGCATGGGTCTGTTATATTGTAACGAGTCGGATCGAATTTAAAATGAAATATGGTACATTGATTATTTTTTTATTGTAATCCGTGCACATTAATCACCAATAAAATTAGCCAATTAACTGTTCAACTGTATCTCAATAACCATTCATCACAATTTAATTAAACGCGGTATATCTGTTGGATATTCCACTGAGTATCTGATAATAATTTCCTAATTCACACAGCCAATTTTTAGTTCTACATTTATCTCAAGAACCACTCGTCAGTTTTCACTGAAACTTGGTAGATTGTCAAAGTATGCATTTCTGTGTATGGTTTAATTGTGTGGTACGAACTTTAATAAATCCTAGATAGTCTAAATACACACGTAATTAGATTTTAATCGGGGACTATGCGCTATTCAATTTAGCTTAGTGTTAAATACATATATTCGCACTCACTGGGACTGTTAATAGCCAATGTACCAAACCTTGTCTGTCTACATTGTGTCGGCTGGCACGTTGGACAGTTGATATTTCTGCAGTTTGGAGTGTGAACATAATCTAGTTACATAGTGATAATGCTACTCTTTCGATCTCGATTTTTATTTAACACAGCTTGGTGAATGTCTGTGCATATTAACTGTTCGGGCACAACGAAATTACCTTAACAACGGCACTAAGAGGACGTCATCTTGTACGCGTGGACAATTCAGCCGTTCATGTTCATTTTCTGATAATTCAATAATCACTCATTAACTTTCAATGTAGCTTGGTACGTAGTTTAGGGTGAAACTGCTTATTAATGAAGTTAGTTTGAAGTTAAGTTAGTTTTGGCGTGTGTTCAGAAAGCGCAGGAAAACAATGTGTATCCAGTGTGAGAAGTATTTTCGATTAATGACGTTAGATCGCTGGCTCATAGAAACTAATGTTAGATTGACAGGCTTTTTTGTTTTCAAAACATACTTTTCCCCCATACTTTTAACACAATATTATAATTTAAACATAATCTGACACAGATGTTTGCTGATTTAGTTATTATATATTCAATGCACAGGTGATACATATACTGGTGGACCGTTACCTTCAGAAGATTAATCCTTCTCTCAAGAGAAGTTATGATCAAGCTGAACATTGTGCGACTCCAAACACCTCAAATAAGCGCAGATATAATGCATGTCATATGTGCGACATGGATATAGAAGACACGATCTGATATTTGGTTGTGTGAAAGAGTTGTATACATTTTTAGAGGAGAATGGTATATTACAGACATACATGTATACTTTCCGAATATCTAGCACAGTTGCCTAGTTCACCACGTCACGTAGCTCATTTCAATCTACATCATATACGACAGCATGTTATATGTACTTTGGCTTATGTTGGTTTGCTTTTTCTTTCAAATAACACACAGCAACTTATTTATATATTTATATTTATATGCATATTCAGGTAACAATGTTTAATAATCATCATTTCACTGACATTAAGATTATTTTATGCACACGAGTTCTTCTGATTTTATAAGTATTTACATGTTCAAATTTAAATTCAATGCCGATATATGAAAAATCCAGACTCCAGTGCGATATGGAAAATGGCACTATGGTACTCATATTTTTGTATGAACTAAGTAATTAAGAAAGTAATTAGAAGTAATTAGTAAGTAATTAGAAACGCGAAGAATCATTTTTATCCATTTATAATTTTGATGTACTGTGTATGCGTTGTACAAGTTACACGGGACCCATACTGTATGACACGTCATGACGACCGACACCTTATTGTTTTTCGGTATCGTATGTTGATAAATACACTCATTATGATTTAAGTTATTCCAGAGCATAGTACGCACATTAGTAATAGTAGTTAGTATTTTAATGGTTACAGCGTGTTTAGTTTACGATAAA